GGTTTAATGAATAAGTTATAATTTATGTAAATCTAGTATATTACTTGAACAAAAAACAAAAGAATATAATGAATTATATATACATTTAATTGTACATAATTATAAATTAATAACTAAAACTCATGCATATGCATCATGTTTATTTTTACTTAAAAGTCATGAAGTTGATTTAAATTCATATGATATTTTATTATCATTAATTAAAGATGATAATTTAACACAAAAAAAATTCTATCAATTAGTCTTGAAAGACTTTTAATAGTTGGTCAATATCCTAGAAATGATATATGGCGTTTATATGAAATACGTGCACGTATTTATACATTATTAAAACGACCAAATGAAAATACAAATTTATTAAATAATGAACATGTTAATGAAGAACAAGAAATGATTGATAGTTCATCAGATAATATTCTTATTACACTTATTGCAGAATTATATGAACGTACTAAACAATCATCAACATTACCATATGAAGCTTTACTTTAATTACATCCTTTATCATTATTACTTGCACACATTGGTTTATCGGGTCGTTTAATGAATAAAATGGTTTTAGAATTTGTTGCATCAACACAAAAATTATACCCTCAAATACTTGCATATACAATTTTTGCTTTTTTTTTGTGCTTTAATTAATGCACGTTATTCAGCTAAAGTTAATGAATGGACTTTATTATCAATGACAAATATTACACAAAGAAAATCAATAGGTATGGCTATATAGGGGTTAACTTGTCGTATGTTCAGTGCACATAGAATTGCTGATGCATTGTAAGTATTCACTTAAATCATTTATCCTTGCTAATTTTTTTTTCTTAGTTCTTTATATTAATCTTTAAAGAAAAAAAAATTTGTATTAAAATTTCATATTGATGATTTAATAGTGAAGTCGTATTTGAACTGTTGGATGAGGTACTTTTTTTCATCTATGGTAAAATATTCTTCCTAGTTTTCTTTTTAAAAATGATCAAGACTTACACATACGATTAAAATTTATTTGGAAAAGATAAATAGTAAAACATTAATGAAAAAAAAAACTCTTTGTTGCAATCCGAAGGAATAACGATCAATACAAAATCAATAAATTTCGCCATGAAATGTCAAAATGAATTTTCATAGATAATATGGTATATCATTTACTTTTTTAGGTTTTCATTGATGTTATCACGTTTCAGTGATCATTTTGAAGAATTAAACAATCGTTTATTTCTTACTGCTGGTCGAGAATATTATCTGCATATATTATAAAAAAGACAAAAGAAAAGCTCCAAATATTAATTGTATGAAAAAAAAATCTATTTTACTTATTTTAGTTAACGAGTATTGAACAACGGCGTCAATTTGAACAAGCATTAATAAATGAATCGAATCCAAAAAAAGTATATGCTGATTTACTTGCATACATTCAAAATACGATCTTATCATTGTCTTGGGTGTGAGTGTAGATGTTGTTTGGATATGTTGATGGATCGATACTCTCTCTCATCCATACCCACACCCTCAATAAAGACTAAAAATATCGATTCATAAAATGAAAACATATCAACAAGATCCACGAAAACCATCAGTCTCATTTATTTTGTGCATTTGTGCTCTAATTTCTGTTTGGCTTGTTAATTTGTATTTCATATTGTATGTTTTATTATGATTTCAACCATTGATTTAACTAGTAAATAAGTCGGTTAAAGTATTCACAAACATATTTCAGCCATTAAAGTTTCAAGAAAGTCTTTAAAATGTTTTAGAATAGTCTAAATCTGGTTGATGATGTCATTCAGTGCCTTTTCTGTTGCCATTCTTTCTCCTTTTACTAGGAAAACCATGCTCATTGGTCTCTAATATTTAAATCATGTCGCTGAAGTCTAAGAGGAAAATGCACAAATCTGAATTAAAATTTGCATTTATAACCAGTACTCTTTGAATCGTTTTGATTTAGTATATTATATGTAAAAGCATCTACCATACTTCATTCTATTGAACTTGCTTTCTGAAAACCCGTTAATAATGATAAATTTAAAAATTCTCGAACTACAATCGTTTCTTTTTATTCAAATAACAATTCTTTTTTCTTGATTTATTATTCCTACTTCTTATTATTTTGTTATCAATACAAAAAAAAACTTTTAATAATAAAGAAAAAAAAATTGAATATTTTAATGTAAAAAGCAATTCATCATTATTCGTTCATCTCACCTTCATATATTAGAAAATATGAACATTAGTGTTTTCTTGTAAGATGACAATCCGATTATCGTTGGACAGTATTTAACAGTAACTATCAGAAACGGAATCGAACCGTCTTCTACGAGTTCGAGTTCAGTTCGATGCCTGACAGACATGGCATTGTTGTATAAAGTTATTTTAGATGTACATTTCTGAGAAATTATTTATAGAAATCATAAACTTTTGTAAGTTCAAACTCAACAATACAATCATCAAAATACATGTCTTCAGAAAAAAATAGATCATTAATAACGAAAATCCGATCATCACTATAGAATATTCTGTAAGAAAATGGTCACACCGTGTTCCTGTTACATTCTAAAGATACTAAAATACTTGTACACACATCCAGCTTAAACAAGCAGACAGTAAGATCTTACAAGAATTCTACAGAGCGTTTTAATGTAAAATGTGTTAGGTCGCCATTCTAGTATGATTTCAGCTGATCTTACAAGATAAAATACTTCAAAGATATTTATATTTACTTATTCACTTTTCCAAAATTACTAATATCTGTTTATGGTAGAAGTCGTTGTCTCAATGAATAGCATGATGCCGAATTCTGTTCTGTTTTCATTACTGAGAATAGGAGAGACGATTAGCAGCTTATGAACGAGCTGATGACATGAAAGATGGTCGTATTCTTCAAAACATTTTTTCTCATAATCTACTTTCGTCATTTAAATTTTGTGTTCTAACTTACGTCACTTTGCTTCAAATATTTTTTTTGTCGTTGAAACAGTAAACTTTGCACACATGTGACGAAATAAAATAAAGAAACTTTTTTCCGTAAAATTTAAGTTGAACAGAGATATATGCAATAAGATGTGAGTTTTCGGTTCATCTACAAATTCACACACCCTATTGTCTATGAATCATGGTTTAGATAGAAAAAGTCTAAAACAAATATTGTTTTCGAACTTTTGTTTTCTGTTCCAACTGATTCTAGCCATTCTAAATCCGATCAGAACTGCGTTTAAGTAAGTCAAATAATTGAATTTATAGTCGGACTTTAATTCTCATCAAGTAATATAAGTTATCGTTGTAATCTTCATCTTTTTTCCCTAGAGAAATGTTTCTTTTTTTCGATTTTCGGATTATTATCAATTTAGCTTACTTTTTGTTTCAACAAGGAAGTCGTTGCCAATTCGTCTCGACTAAGAAAATATTTCCCCATAGTTACAGTTAATTGTCTCCCTCTTTTGAATAGAACAATCAATCTCATCTGCATTTTTCAAGCTAACTTTGTTTTATTGAAATATCAGGTTACTCGATTTCTGTCAAAATGGCTTTCTCCAATATGTCATTCCCTGAAGTCACATTTTCGCAGACATTCGCCATCGACGAAATTTAGAAACTCTAGATATTATCAGTTAAGTCTCCGAATCTTAAATAAATATACTTCTTCCGAATAAGTGCAAATTTAGATAAAATTGAAACTGGCTTGTATCACAAATATTCACTCTGTTCTTTAATTAACCTTAAGAAAATCTTGTATTTCTCACCAAAAAAAAAACAATTTCTTACGTTTGGATATTTTGAATATAAATTTTCCAAAAGTTATTCAAAAGAAAAAGAGAATTTTGCAAGATCACAATCCTTAAAATGATGATGATGATGCTGAAACCTTGCGGAACGCTGGTAGAAGTAGTTAATAGTTATGTCATTGGTTATTTTAAAAACTATGCATTGAAAACAAAAACAAAAACATGTCTGTTAACTCCGACTGAAGCATTCGCTAGTCAAAGAAACATTTGAATCATAGCAGTATGTCTGCGCAAATTTTTTCATCGCTAGTAAATTTATCGATAAAAATCTTGAACAAACTATTCAAATTCTTCTGAAAAGTCATGATTTTTATAAATACACTTATGCTCTGATATCAAAGATTGGTTCTTTTTTAACTACTGCTTCGTCGTAGATTGAGATAATTTCAGTGGATGATCAATTTAATTTCGTCAACCGTTGTCTTTTTAAGAAGATTCATGGTTCTACAGACTACATATGCCTTTTTCTTTTGATGTTGAATAAAATTGTTGTTACTCTTTTCATGGAACTAGTGCCTTTGGTCAATGTTAAATTCAAGTGCCAAACCTATTTCTGTATTCTCTATCATTATAAAATGACAATTATAACGGTGGTAGAATACAATTTCAAGTCTTTA